TTTCTTAATAAGAAGAGGCTTAGCCACCATTTACCGGACACGGTCCGGAAGGTAGACAACGACTTAAATAAAACAGTTTATCAATAGAATGATACAGTGATGGAATATCATTACATTTATTTTGATAAGTGCACCTCAGGCTTCATTTGAACAGTCGGATCAATATAATTGAACAATTGATTCTATCTACTGTTAATAATTTAGAATATTTTGTTTATTGAAGGACGATCTCAAACAATAATTCGCAAAATTATTTTATTTAATTTAAGAAGACTTGTTATTCTTAGGTTTTTTTTTTTTTCATTGAATTCATTCTTCTGAGGCATGTCCACTAATTCGCTAAAAGAACAGCATACCTTGATGTAAAATGGCCCCAAACTTAATAAAAAAAAAAACAATGTTTTATCGTGAAAAACTTTGTTAAAAATAAGAGGAAAGACCAAAATATTTTTTAATTATTTTTTTTTAATTTTTTATTCATTTCTAGCACCTTTGAAATTTTGGTTGAAAACCTTTATTTTTTTTTTTTTTTTTTTTTCACGACAGCGGTCGCGTATTTTAGCATTAGTTGTTTTTTTTTGTTGTTTTGTTTTTTTTTCAGTTGAAAACATTAATTTGGAAATTCTTGCAAAAATCAAATAACTGTTGGATTTTAATGAAACTTTCAGAACTTATTCAAAAATGAATGAAATTATTTTTGAAATGTTTATTTTTAAAGTCATGGTAAAAATATATTTTTTTTTTTTTACATCAGTTCCACCTCGCGCCTTACTTAATTTTTTCAAAACTTAAATAAGTGTACTCTATAATTTTTTTAATTAAATGCAGAAGGCTTTGAAGGATATAAATTTAAATCATCGAGATACTTTTTTTTTTTTTTCTTTTTTGTAAATCCAGGACGGTTTACCCAAAATTTAGCTCTGAATTGTATGACAAAAGTCACAAAACCCAATAAAACTAAGACATTATTTAATTAAAAAAAAGCTTTTATGAATATAATATAATAAAGGACATTTTTGTCTGAAACCACAATTTTCTTTTCAATTTTAAATGTGATAAAGTTGTTAAATATTTTAAAATTAAATTTGAATATGTGTATCTCGGGAAACGCTTTGATTAAAAGATCTATTTTTACAGATCATATACGATCTGTGAACAGCTTCTATTTCTTCATCACTGTAATTATCAAGCAATGGACATGGTTATACAATTCCAATTTAGTCAACGTGTGCCCGGTAAACAGTAGTCAAGCCAGAGAATGTTTTGCAACCCGCGTGTGTGGAAATCCTCACAGTATTTAGCACGGTCTAAAATTATTGCGAGATTTACAAACTCTACCTTTCGTTCCATTTCGCAAAAAATGAAATTTAAATAAGCTGTATATTTTTTTTTTTTTTTCGGAAAAATACTTTGTTGACAAAAAAAAAGCCTACTTCACAGTTTTTACACACGCTAGTAAAACCAGCTATAATTTGTACCCCCCCCCCTTTACTTCTGCATTTCTCCACAAAATTTGGTTTCGATCGGTCAATATGGCTATTTTAGGTGTAACGGACGGACTAACGGAAATGACGGAATTTTATTTGTGTATATACACACACACCGTACACTACAGTGAACGGATATAATTTGGTCAACGGAGAAGCCCGGCCCAGCAGTAGATACAGCGAGTAATTTTATCTCTTGTATGATGTGACCCCCCCCCCTTAAAATTAGCTTCAAAAGTCTCATGATACGCGAGTATATAACGGTAACAAACTAAACGGAACCTAAGACTATTTTTCTTATTTTATTTTTTTTATTTATTCTTTTTTTTTTTTTGTGGAAGTTACTTAAATCCTGTCTGAATTATAGAAATGGATAGCAGAGACAGTGGTCAGAAAATGGGGGTGATTTTTAATACTAAAGAACAATACAAAACTGATCCCTCATTTTCTATCCTTTCATTTGATTATCTAAGGATGTTTTGGAAATCTATGAATCTACTATGACCAAGAAATGGGAGATGTGTTTAATACTAAAGAACAATAAAAAAACTCATCCCCCACTTTTTGCCACCACTTCTTTTGATTATCTATGAAGATTTTTTTAGTTATCGTATATGCTCGCGTATCATGCGAACTTTGAAGACCTAATTTTGAAGCTAATTTGACTGCAGTAAATGAATATATAGTTTGGTCAATGGCATAGCGAGGGCCAGCCGTACTTGTGCTAATTTTATATCTCGTGTATGATACGACCCTCTTAAAATTAGCTTCAAAATTAGGTCTTCAAAAGTCGCATGATACGCGGGTATATATGGTAGAATAACTTATGTTTAACATAATGAATGCAAATGCAAAGTTGTTCTTCAAACGAGTCGCACATTTTTTCAATCAGAAAATATAAATTTTAATGATGCTGAACGCATTATTTAGACGATAAAATTTTGTTTTCGTCAAGTTTGGCGTCTTTTTCGTAATGCTATGCTCTTTTTTTTTTTTTTTTTTTTTTTTTTTAGCGATCTCATGGAGGTACCTACAGATGAAGCATTTTCCCCCACAATGTTATATTTTTATATTTTTTGTCTACACATTTTTACATTTTTTATATTGCAACACTCAAGGTCAGTGTAAGTAAACAGTGCGAAATGAGAGGAAAAGGTTGCGTGTATGTGTGTCGCTTAGCGCCAAGTCTTTTTTTTTTTTTTTTTTTTTTCCAAAGCCAAGATAAGACCGCACCACACCTTTTTTTTTTTTTTTTTGTGCCCCTTGAAAACCACTGACCTCAACCCGGTGGTCTAAAATCCTGGCTTAAGCAGCAGAATAACGTACCTACGTTCTCATTAACATACAACGAACGACGCACTGAAAAATACAGGCTGTTCTCAAAATATGTCTACTTTTCTATTAACTTTGTTTATTTTAATAGCACGTCTGCTTCTAAGGAAAATGGAGGAAACACTTGAATGAATGAGCGATCAATTTTAGAAAGAAAACAACCTTAAATATTTATCCTTTATTTGAAGCGTTCAAAAGACTTTCACGAAGTCGTAAAATGTTAAATTTGTGTAAAACTTTTTCAAACCAAAGAGCAGAAATTTTTTCCCTTCTTCTTTGTCAGAAAATACTTTAAAATTCCATTTCGTTGATGAGTTTCTAAATGAAACATGGCGTACGCCCGTTTTGTTTGTTTGTTTCCACTTTAAAAACGGGGTAAACTGATTTCTAATTTGAAATAGACGCAATTCTGTTAATAACGCCAACATATTTCCAATCTGGACACCATCAACAACTTAATCATTACAACAAATATATAACATTATTATTATACGCATTTACTTATAAGAAGTTCCCACCAATTAATATGCCTATCGGGCGAACCGCCCCTCCAGCTCCATTATATCTGACAATTTTATGGAGATGGGGCTTCAATTTTCTTTTTAGTTTTGAATTTTTATCGCTTAAGGTGTTTTTCTCGTTTCACAAAAATGGGCCTTTTTTAGTATAACACTGATTCTGTTCATCTTTTGTTTTTTTTAAAAAAAAAAAGGTTATGAAAAAAGAATTCTCACGGTAAAGATGGCGAGAACGGAAATAAAAAGGGGGGAAAAAATCATTATGAACAATGACTTTTCTACAGAAACGAACCGATCCAAGAAATAATCTTTTTTTTTTTTTTCTTTTTTTTTTTTGGGGGGGGGATAATAATGTAAATTGATCCCCTAAAAAATAAAATGATAAGGCAAGTAAGGGAAATACATCATCATAATAATAAATTATAATAATAATAATAATATCAATAATAATAAACAAAAATAAAAATATAATAATAATAATAATAATAAATAATTAAAATAATAATAATAAAAACAAAAATTATAAAAATATAATAATAAATATAATAATAAATAAATAAAAAATAATAAACAAAAATATATAATATTAATAATAATAAATAAAAATATAATAATAATAACAATAATATTCAAAACTAAAAGATAAGAATATTCAATAGTTTAAAATCAAATTCATATATAGACTGTTCTAGTTCCACGTGCCATGTTTTTAATGGATGTCAGTTGTCAGTGGAGAACTTTCAAGGGGAAATTAACAGGAGATAACTGATAACTGACATCCATTAAACATGGTATATAGAACTAGAACAGTCTACCCCAGTGAGCGAAATAAAGGGTTCAGATTGACATTCCAACCACCTGAAGAAGGCCGGAGCGTACAACGGCCGAAACGTTGTAATAAATATGGCAACAAAGATGAGGACAATAGTCCGAATAATGTAAATAATTAACTTTTTTGTATTTCAATTTCAAATGCTGTAAGGTTTGTAAGAATATGCTTTATCTCGTAATATGAGACTTTTTTGTTTTGTTTAGTAGGTTGGGAGTCAGACACTAACGTCGATGGGGATCCATTTAAAAAGTAGATACGTTATCAGGAGTGCTTAATCAGTATAGTAATATGAAAAAAAGAATTCAGAAATTGCAAGAAGAGGTGCGTTTCTATAGTCAGCCTAATATTTTTCCTCTTGGAACTCCTTTGGCCAAATTTTAGCCGTCTTGCCGAAATGTTTCGTTTTTGCTTTGAGGAAAACTGTAACTTCTGTAACAAAAGTGAGCTGGGCAATCGATTTGCAATAAAGGGTCTACTCGTTTAACAGAGGTTTACGCTGTAATCCTCAGCTGTAACAAAGTGGGACAGAAAGTAGGTAGATGTTCACTTTTACATTATACATTGTATATTGTAAATCGATCACCCATTTTAGAGCCAATTCATTCGCTTCTCCTTCTACGACTAAGTTGGCCTATGATGACTATATTAGAAGTTTCGAGTATCCCACAACGCCGCTGGAGGCTAAGTGCAGCGGCCTCTGGAGGCTAAATACAGCACCCCAGGGCACCGCGATGATACAAAAATAATCAAGCAAAAGTTAATGCATCATTTAAGCATTAAACACTTACATTTACCATGGGAGATTATGGCTCTCCACTGCTTTCATGGCTTACTGCCATATCACGTTGAAACACCGGTTCCTGTACGACCACCGAAGTTAAGCAACGCCGAACCTGGTCAGTACTTCGATGAGTGACCGCATGAAAATACCAGGTACTGTAAACGTGGGTGTGCGGTTGGTGAAATGGATAACAGCTCGGAATTGTTAATCGGAGAGCCGAGTTCCAATTTCAGTTCACTTACTCGCAAATACCATTGGGGAAATGTATGAATCCACCTCTTCCCCCCCAGCTATGGGTTAATTAGTAAGTTTTGTATCAGGAAATCACTATCATCTCAAAAAAAAAATTCTCACAATGTAAAAATATTTTCTGGTGTTAAGCCATAGAAAACGAATCAATCAATCAGTGAATCAAAATGGATTCCGTTTTTTTTTTGTGGGTGGGGATTGTTACTGTCTGTGTATTGTCATGATTTCTTCGGAGAGGTGACTGAATTTTTCCTCCTCCATATTTTTAGCCCACAGACGTTTCTACCTTCTCGCTACTGTCTCCCTATTACTATTGTATATGCTCGGACGGGTTACATCCCTTAGTTCCACTAGTTCAGACCTTCACAGCCAGGACCCACCTTGCTATGTTCACTTTTAGGGAGATCATCCCCCATTCCCCTTGTGTTTCTTTGATAAAGAGTAGGTTCCACTTAGCCAGCTTCTTCCGCAAAACGGTTACTTCGTGGAGCAAACTCCCAAGGAGTTGCTTCCCTGACAACTAGTTTTGGTATGTCTTTCAAGGTCAACCTATATCTAACTTATTCATCATTATAGTGTACTTCCTACTCATTGACCCCTTATAACAATCTCGTCCTGTAACCCGAGGACCTTCTGTGTGTGTATATATATATATATATATATATATATATATATATATATAGTGTGTGTGTGTGTGTGCAAATATATAGAAAAATAGGAGAGAACACGTTAGGTAAATAAATCGAAGTTCTTCACTATTTTTTTTTTTTTTAAACAGTGTTCAATACATAAGTAGAGTCTAAATTTTAATTATTTTTTTAAAATATGATTCCTTTGTTACATAAGAGTTCTCGTGTTTCAAAAACAGGACCCAAAAACTTCAATATAATTATTAAAATTAAATTGAATTAAAGTATCAAGCTCTGTTTCATCCTCAAGCGAAATTTTTGGAATAACTAATCTTGAAATTTACGCAGCTTTATAAGCATATTCATTCGTAAAATTAATTACTATGGAAACGGCTGAAGCAATTATTTTAATAAGGGGCGTAAGGGTTAACAATTTGTATCAACATGTTAATTACTTTCGAAAAGAGGTCAAATGAAGGTAGGGTCGGGTTGTCTATTTTAAAGTGAATGATGACATTCACTAGACGCATATCGTCTAGTCTGTTTCAGCGACAGAGAGTTATTGGCATTATTGTTACGCCATTAAATGTCTAAAGATTTTTTTTTCTAAAAGGGTTGTTTGTATATAAATGCGTCGTATTGAACTACAATTTGTTTTGTTTTTTTGTTTTTATTTTTTTTGACGACTTATATATATATATATATATATATATATATATATATATTCTTGTTCACTTTCACAATACAGGAAAATACTTGTTGACAACACCACGAAAATAATAATAAAAAAAAAATTGAAATTCTCGAGGCCCTCTATATCGAAATTAACCAGCTAACACTCAACAAAATTTATTACGAATATAGCCACAGCATATTAAAGTGCATATAACATTTAAGATCAGTTTACATTTCTGCCAATTTCCGGTCGACTCCCTAATATGGATTTTTTTTTTCCAAAAAATCATTAGATTCAGTTAAGCTGAATTAACGGAAAGAAATGAGTAATTACCGATTTTCGAGCATGACACTCTGGACTTATAAATATGTGTTTTCCACCATGTGTATAAAAAAACGATGTCAGGATACTGACTAGAGAGATTATTGAGTGGAACTATCCAGTCGAATTATTGTGCATCGATGATTTGGGTTTTGATTTTTGGATTTACCGGACGTTAAGCCGAGCCGCGCTACTATCAAGGTATTCACTGAAATGGTTAATTATCTTTGGTTGACTTTTACTTCTTTGCTCTTGTTAAGTATTTATTTGCGGTTGTAATTAAATACAGTTTTATTTTAACATTGAAGTCTTGAGTTATAATTATTAACGGCCACCGTACGCCACAAAAACTACGAATTCTATTAGTTTGCTATGTTCTTTTAGAAAATAACAATCCGTAAATTCACTGCCGTTTACCTGGTACACGGTCCTGAAGGACGATAATGACTTGAATAAAACTGTCGATTAAAATAGAATTGATAAACACGTACTGGTTTGAGAAAGACAACTTAAATAAAACAGTTAACTAAATGGAATTGATAAAACATGTGTACAGTGCTGATAATTGTGATAATGAAGAATAAATTCAAAGAAGGCCTTACAATAACAACTAATAATTTAAATAAGATAATCTCACATATTATTGTGCTAAATCCATCTTCAAGAATAAATTATATTCAATAATTACAATTAATGATATATAAAATAGTAAAAATAATTCAATTATGGAGATTCAATTGTTCAGTGAAGCTTGAGGTGGACTTGTCAAAATATTGTGATGAGATTGCATCACTATTTTAATCAATTAATCTTATTCCAATGAGTCTACCATTTTGCTCAAGATTTTCCCTACTTCCATTGTTTAGAAAGTTGTTCATTTTCGAGAAAATCATTTTTAAAAAAAAAGCAATCAAAGTGACTAAATTAAAATTAGGTTTGATTTATAGTGTATATATAATATCAAAATGGACACAGATTTTGTGTCTGATGTGACTAATGAAAAAAAGTACGCAGATGTAGGTTTTAAGAAAGCTTTATTCAACTGAGAATACAAGGTTTGCGGATAGTGTCGTTTTATAGTCCCAGTAAACAGAAATAGCCCTCTGAAAGAGGACAGTAACAAAGCAAAGGGGAGGCCACTCTTGATTATTCATAACAATGACCTCGAATGTTCAATTTACAATGTAAATGATTGCTAAATTTCTCCTTGGCGTTGTCTCTCATTATTTAAATATGAGTAATTTTAAAGTACGGAAGATTAAAAAAAAAGTTTATTTTACCGTGTTAATAAAAAAAGATTTGGAGTTAGGGTTTTTATAATACCATGGATTGAGTTCCTATCCACAGAGAAAAATACATTTTTTTATCTGTTTAGGCTTCCATACTTTTAAATGATGGACGTTATGGACTAAGGAAAAAACCGCGATTTTCATATAAACGGACGCAAAGTAAGAATCCAGTTTAGCATTTCATTCAACTTAAATTTTTCGTCATCATTCTCAGAGAGGTTTCGACTTGAATGCTCATAGCAAATTAGTGTGATTTCTCATCTTCAGCTTGGCTGCCCGTTTCTTATACATACTCATCTGCTCAGGCCCATTATAGTTTGTTCAACACCTACAGACCCAACCTGGGGTTTATTGCCGAGCAGACCTTAGTTGCAGTCGAAGTACTTGACCTGTCAGGGATATATAGTTTTAAATTCAGTTTTCCTTCCCTTATACTGGTTGCCAACTACAACTAGAGAGCTGCGTCTTCCTTGTTATTTAACCTATAGGTGGGGGGTAGAGAAGTGGTAGCTTCATGCTATTTCCAAATGTATTTGTGTGAATGTAATGATCACAACTGGAATTCAGACTCGGATAACAGCTAAAAAAAAATTACCAATAAGTCATGGCAAGTACAAAATAATAAAAAGAACGTGTGGAGAGCCATGATCGACAATGCTGTTAAGGGATATTGCATTTTTAAAAATCTGTTTCTATCATACAGTTCGCATACAGCGGACAGAAACGAAATTAATAAATTTAAATAACTCGATGACTGGATTCTAACCTTCTCGTATTGTAACATAATTAGCGGGCGTTAAGCGCAGATATAAGCCCCTTACTGTTTTTTTTAAACCCGCGTAAATATATATATATATATATATATATATATATATATATATAAAGCTGTGTGCTGTCTTCCGTACAATGGAGAGTTGCGGATTTCTCTCATTAAATCATTGATCCTGTGTCCTGTGCCCCATTCTGTTGTTTGTGGCAATTGGTGAGGAAACGGCGAACAATTGGTCTGCTCCCTTGCCTACTAAATGTCCTAGATACATCGGCTCTCGCATTCTAAAACCGGGATGTATCTCAATCGAGGTGACCTTTTCGTCACTCTCCCTCCGATTTCCGTCATCACTCAATCTCTTGTCGACCAATAGTAATGCTATCAATGTCAGTCACAAACGACAACATCCGACCGCTGGAGGATGACTTCTTTTTCAAAGGCTATGAAATTACACGCAGACTCGGGAAAGATTGTATTGCGTGCCATTTTTAATCCTGTGGGAAACTGGATGACATACGACACCCAAGTCTGGCCTTGAAATTTGAACCCTTCATATATGTTCACATAGTTCCGTAAACTTACGAGATTTAGTATTTTCATTATACCACTACTATTATTATTATTGTTATTATTATTGTTATTATTATTATTATTATTACTAGCAGCCATACCCAGCTGGTCGATCAGAAAAAGCGTTCAATTAGAATGGAGCAAAAACAGCAAGAGACCTCGCTGCTAGACGTAGTTTATCGTCATACCCAGGACGTGGGGGTAGTTTATCGTCTTACCCAGGACGGGAGTTTTCACTTGGATTCGTTTCATCCTCAGAAGGGCATAAAAAGAATGTAATTCATAATAATAAACCGTCTTTATTTAATATCAGATTTTAAAAAAAAAATATATATATATATACCGACTTACGGGGACTTACGTATAAGGTACTCTTCCGCCCAACTCCCCAAAGAAAAAGAGTATCATGATCGACGTATAAACACGTCTATAACTGTTTTTTTGAAAGTTATGTTCTGGGCGTGTTTATTCGTCAGTGTCTGAAAAAGTCACTTTCTGTATAATAAAAAAAACCAAAAAAAAAACGTATATACCCGATTACACCGCGGGAACGCGGTTAAACACTTGCAATTCGCAAATAAGTTGAAATTCTTTTTCTTCCCTTGAATATCATTAGGTTTCCGCCATAGTTTCCAACGAAAAAGTCAATTTTCAACT